CGTTGAGTGACATGACGTATCAGGCAATCGTCCGAGTGGTGAACGACGAGTTGGGTGTCCGAGGGTGATATGTAAGCCGATGGAGCCAGTTGAAGACAACTGTGGAGAACAAAACGGAAACCTACGTTCCACCCGGAAACCAAGGGAATGATAATATTCTCAAAAGATATTTCAGCAGTGCTTACGTTTATTAGCTGTAAACTTTAATGTGTGTTGCACTTTTATGTGTTGGTTGGATGTGCCGTAGCATGGAGAGATCCTACATCATTCAGATCAGATTATTTCTAACGAAATGAACAACGACAGAGTGTATACCGCTTATTACGAACAGCTGATATTTCTTTCCACTGACAGGTATCCGTATTTCCCATTCTGTTTCTTAAATATAGGAAGCGATATAACCAGGAAGTCATATTCCCTTATATAATCAAAAGCCATCACAATAGAAATCTCAAACGCCTAACAATCATTAATCACTCCATTTGTACTAACAAAACTGCTGTTGATAGTAAGGAATTTTAAATACTACGGAATGACTGGATATGTGAGGAATTCACGAAGATATCTCTTCATTCCCAAGAAATAGGCAACATCACTACCGTATCTCAGCATTGATTCCCTGGGTATATACGAAGGAAGAAATAAGCTCTCCATGCAATAACACAAGGAAATCCTGTCTACAGAATTCAAACCGTTCGACGGCATTCAACCTCTTTTACTGCCCATTCACTGTTAACATTCAGACACTTCTATGAATGCAGTTGACCTGGTGAGTTGTGTTGGTCCTTCGGTGGTGGTTCTGTATCAAATTACTATTCCGAGTTTGAAAAGCCAATCTGCAGCACCTGCTTATTGTACGTGGGAACTAATACCTGGACTGACATACGCTAATTCCAACCAACTCTGGCGCTATAAACCTGGCTTTTATAGGCCAGGTTTACAACGCTTCATTCAGCGCGGTCTTGCTCAACGCCTATGAAACCTGCCTTCTCTGAGCTGTGGTGTATGGCGACTCTGCCTATTCCATCGTCGCTGAATTTTTAGTGTTGCTTGGGCCCCATGACATCATCGTGTTAGTAATTCTGAGATCCGGTAGCGTGTGTTTCGATACGGTGGTCACCTTTCATTCAGTTGGGTCATCTTATAACACCGACCTCGGTGGCTTAGACATATGTACGACTGTCATCCCAGACGCTCCTACACCACTCGCTGTTCATACATTCAAGGTTGAATTCGCCTTAAACAACGATATCTACAGGCTGAAAGATGGAATCACTATGCACTCTCCTCCTGGCCCATTTTTGGTAGCCTGTTTCATGGCCAGTTTGGAAAACGGAAACCTAAAATCGACAACAGGCAAGTTAGTGATGTACAGAAGATATGCTGCCAACACTTTTATGATGATTCCTCTATAAATTGTACTTTCCAAGAATTTAAAAACTGTCATCCTTCATCATATTCACAGTGGAATTAGGAAGTGAATCAAAGATTCGGGAGAGACTTAGCGACAGATATCCGAAATGGAATCTCCAGTTCCCTAAAGAAGACCTTTCCCTCAGTAACGCCAACAGTGATATTCTCTAGCCACCGACTAATTCTAAGAAGTTTAAATGACAAACTCCCGCATCCAATAACTCTAATTTGCATATATCAATCAACTTGCCTCTGTTGGGTTACGTACACAGGTCGCTCTATCCACATTATTTCGGGAACATTACCCAGCCTGGTTGCAACGAGGAGGCACTGCTTCAACGAAGAACGCCATAAATGAACACTCTATCAGCACCTGTCACAGCAGCTCAACCGACTTATCATTCAGAGTCATTTACAATGTTAACGAAAATCCATCAGAGGCAGTCTTTCCGACTTCGCACTGCAGAAACCTTAGCCGTATGCTTCGAAAGCCCGGAGCTATATGTTCAAAACAAATTAACCCAACATCTAAATTCACCACACATCCCATTCTGTCTGACTCCTTAGTGTTCCTTTCTTCTCTTCATTCCCTTCACCTTCAGCTGTAAAAGCTAATATCTCAAACTGTCTGTGTATATTCCCTTCACATCTGTCTTCCTTAAAAACTATTTCTCATATTATGCAACTATTTTCTAATCCCATGTTATTTTATTTCTATGCTCCTCGTTACCTATACCGATACCTTCAAACTTCCATATTAAGTTGAAAATCATTATCACTCTTAATCTTCCTCCGTTACTACGCTGAATTTTAAATAATAACTGCAACTACTCAAACTTACATTTTCGCGTTAGTCTCCATTTCATAGTCCGTGCTTAAATGTGGTTTTCGTAGGAACCTTTTATCAAACGATGCAAAAAGAAATTTTCCTAATGATATCCATGTGCATCTTAAGACGTCAAGATTAATGCTTTACTTATATCTCTGGAAGGAAATGATTATTTATTGTATCAGCTAATCATCCTAACAGAAAAACAAACATTACCTTTGTGGTAAAGCACAACCAGGAAACTTCACTTGTGTATCACACGTCATATGAGCTGTTTTTGTGATGCGATTGCGTCACATGACTCGTCTACCATTCAACATGAACTATCTAGAGAGTAGCTACCAACTAAAATATGACTTTCCTGAACAGTAGAGTCAGTCAAAGACTACTTCTCTTGGAATCAATATCAGAGTCAGCGTCGGTAAAACAGGCTAGTGGAATCAATCAAAACAGAACATGTATGTGAACCACGCCCAACTTGCTCGTGCCACATGCACAGGAAGTTATCATTTCGAAGCCATAACTTCGTGACAATTACACACAATCAAACGATCAGTTCACTTAACCAAGTTTATGCAGTTCGCCATACCCTGCCCTATCTATAAGACATATGACATGCAAAATTTTCAATTGCAGAAGTGTAATTGAAACAAAGAATCCTCTAGTCGGAGTGAAAACAAGTTTACTCACCATCACAAAATGCAACAGTTACAAATAAAGGAGGCTGGATTTATTTCCCTCGTCAATGAGCCATCCATTTGGATGCTTAACGAGTACTTTGCTCTCTACAAACACCCGATGACGCTGCATTATCTACTAGTTCGGGGATAAGAAGATAATAGGATGATTCCAGTGGAATAGTCATTAAATGCCAGTTTGTCTTTCCTTTTCGACAGTAGGAACATGCTCATTTAGAACATGAAAAGAGCGCAGGTTTCAGAATCGAGGTGTCTTCATATATTCATTCAAACCAAGTGGAAAATTATACCGAGATTGCACATAACGTTAAGGCAAGTCCAACAAAGAGGCTGGGGTGTGTTATACATCATCATCCGCCACTCATATAAGACGGATGTTAGGTGATATAAGATAACGTTGGAAAAGGGTCAGGCATTAAATCAAAAACAATGAAGTACCCAACTATTGATGTGAACAACGCACTGAGGGATGGGCTGTCTAGGAACTTCATCATACTAAAAATCCCCATCATGAGACTCAGTACCATGAATCGAAATCCTTTCCCCACAACTCACATTTTTTAATGCGTCATTCTATTTCTGTTCTCTACTTCCTGTGTGCTGCTTCGAGGTGCGTCAGTCAGTCGGCGAGGGAGCGAGGAGAAATGAAGCGTGGGTCTAGGGTTGTGCAAAGTTATATTAGAACGGCTTCGATGGACTACGCTACAGTTTTCTAGTAAATGTCACGCTGACTACCACTCCTCTATACCTGGAATTACACGAAAAAGAGGTTATCACCTGACACTGCGTGCAGTAATAACTACCCTCATTAGTAGGTGGTCTAGAGGAACACGTGACTCAATGGCTTGGAATGATGGTAAGAGTAGGGTAGGAACATACATGATGGGACCTACTTAGTTTTCCGACCGAAAAGGTGCAGGTTTGATTCACCATCTAGCATCATACATATTTATTAGTGCTTAATCATAGACTGCTACGCATTCAGCATAATATGCTCACTCACTATTATTCGTAGACTTTATTAGACTAGGGTTGCCAGATAAGTCTCAGGGATGGAGGTAATTGCAAATGATATCGAAACTGTTTCATAGACAAATAAATGGCACGTAGATACCACAAAAGCAAGTCGTTTGTTTTGTTTCACCCCAAACAATTATAGTGACACAGTATGACAATAAACCACATAAGCAATACGCATGTCCTGAATGAATTCCAGGCACTTAATTGCAGGAATGCCAGTCGTGCATATGTCTCAACGACTTCGTCTCTCCTGGGTGAAGCAAGAGCAATGAATGTGAGAAAAATGACTCAATAAATAGGGAAAACAACATCAATGAACTGGCGCCTACTAAGTTCAGTGTTGAAAATTCAGCAGTCACAGTGACTAATAATTTTCAGCTGTAGGTCTCTAGATGGAGGCAACACTATCGAGTTTCTTAGATGATTATCAACCACTAAGTGTTTACCGAACAAGCTGCTAACACGAACTACCTGTTAAAATAGAAAACGCAACCTCTTCTGCGCAGTGACAAAACGGAACACTACAAGAATAAGACTGAATGCCCCTGATGTCGAGATATATCGATCCAATCTAAAGTTTTTGAAGTTGGTTATCTTCACGAAGCACGCCTGTAAATTCCACTTTCAGGTGGAGAGGTAGCAGACAGATACCTATTGAAAAGCTTTACAATAAAATCAAAATACAATAACTTCACAAACAGAGACTATGCATTAGACGATTCATTACAACGGCAGGTATATTCAAGGAATGCATAAGCCACCGACGACATTATGCATGGAATTGTTCACTTTTAGTCAGGTATTGCTAAAATTTCGCCGAGCACTTTACGAGGTGTTATTCATTGTGGCAACGTCATATAGTGAGTCATAGGATGTCAGTATTCATGCACTTCACTCGGACAACCACGACAAACGACTCGAGCTAAATTTTTAGTTTAACCAACAAACTGACCGATTCAGAATTCAAACAAACTATCTAGACAGTGTTTTGTAGACATTAGCAATCTACGCGCAAAACAGTCATACAAGTAATGTAGTGCACCTGAAGCCAGACAAAGTTCTACAGATAGATGCAAAGACTACGAAGAGTAAACACAGGTAATAAGCAATTTTATGAACATAAGCAATTGGTTGTCAGTTGTCAGGAAACTCTAACCAACATTTTGTAACCAAAGTTATTCTACAAGTCAATTGAACGTGGTATCTACAAATACAGCTACGCTTGCATTGGAACCTGCCCAGATCCGCTTTTTGTGACAGTACTTGATGTTGTAGGTTGTATGTCGGTACGTGGTCGTCGGAAAAGAATAATATGTGGTTCTGGTTCATGAATCATATAGTGAACCCAACCAGCTGACTGTTGAATTCCCAATTTTCGCCACTCCACTTCAGACATAAGGTGACTTTTGGGCACTTGCTTTGCTAAATCTTTCGGTAAGTGAACGTGTCTAAAGTATAGTCAAATAACAACTATTATGATTTCGCAGGCCTACCTATACTCGAAGACGTCATCGTAGTACTTCTCTGAGTAGTAAATGTTACGGCTCATTTTACGTATTAACAAAGCCGCCCTTGCAAATTGGTACTAATTCAATATCCAATGTCCATTAAACGGGTTCCATAAATTCCAATATCCAAAAGCGTTTTTACGAGCTGGTATAAACCGCTTCTTGATTGTGAGGTAAAGGTTCCCGGTCTTCGGCAAACTTACGCGTAGTTCATCCCGCCACTCGATTGTCTTAGCTTTGAATGACTCTATAAGTAGTGCTGTTTGTAGCATGTGGCGTGTTAAGACTTTGTTTCTATTGTGTATGGAGTTGATCCTTTCACCAGTTAGTCCTGCAGTATCGTCGATGAAAGAAAAGAGATTATGATAATAATAATAATAACAGATACAATTAATGTAGGTTATTCAGACTAAAAGACAGAAAAAGAGATAAGGAAAACGTAAAAGCAGACAGTTAAATAGATTTGCAGTCGAAATATATATATGTATGTATTTATGTATATAATATCAATGATGATAATAACAATAATAATAATAGGCGTAAGTGTAATAGCTGGAGCTGTCAGGAGAGTAAGATAGGAGAGAATGTAGAGAAGTGTAACGACGAATTTGGTTGTCTACCAATGAATAGCGTATGGGATTTAAGGGGATAGGCCATTTGGACGCAGTCCTTGTGTTACTGCGTGATTGTCCAGCCTTATATGAAATACATTATTATTATTATATTCACTTAGAGGTGTCCACAGACTGTGTCGTAGCTACATCTGCCAGTAAGGAGTTCCAGGGACGGCAAACCCGTAGTGTAAAGAAGTGGGAGCACACCCGGGTCCTCGCCCGCTGGTGAACTATCCTTCTGGGATTTCCACGAGAAAGCTCATACCTACTCAATGGCAGATCCCCTTTGTTTCGATGATTCTCGTCATTTGTTATCTTGTAGACAGTGGTCAAATGCCCCTTAGTCGACGGTAGCTAAGTGTGAATAGGCCTAATTTCTCTAGCCTTTTGTCATACGGTTTATTTCGGAGACCCACCGCTCCCTTTGTCGCCCGTTTCTGAACTCTTTCCGAAAGGTTTGTATCTCTTCTAAGAAGTGCGGGTGCAATGATATTTTTCACTTCAAGGTGTGGTCTGACGTATGCTTTCTACAACCTCACAAAGAGCTCAGGAATGAATGCACGTAAATGTCTATGTGTAGAGTGCATGACCACACATGCCCTCACTACATCCCCCGTGTTATTCACGCTCGTGTCCATTTATTCCTTTAGAACTAGACCTCGGTCACGCTCCGACGTAGGGCAGGACAAGCTTTCGTTGCACAGGGTGTAACTTTCACTCTGCAGTTTACAGGTAAGTAATTTCAGTACTTTGCACTTTTCAGGTTGAAAGTCATTCCAATGGCTGATGCTCAACTACCCAGAAGCTTTAGATCTGCGTGAAGCCTATGCGAGTCTTCCGAACACTTTGTTGGTCTCCATATCTTTACTTCGTCAGTATATTGAAGAGTCGGTCGGCTTAGACGGCATGTTAGATCATTGATAAAAATCAAAATGTCACTGGTCCTAGGATAGAACACTGCGACACTCCTGGTGACGAGCCGTGCCGTAGCGGTACGTCCAACGTTTGCGTTACATTTTTGCGTGATTCGTTACATAAAATTTATCTTGTTGTAATCCTTGCACAAGTCCTCTACTACTTCCATCCCTATAACTATTAACTCTCATATCAAATAGTTATGGTTAACCAAAGTAAAAAGCAGCGAACTCAATCCCCTGTAAAACTGATGACTAATTTTAAGTCGTTGATTGCTACATCAAGCAACATACTTCCTACAAATGGTTATAGTGAGCCACAAAACTCACTTGTATGTCGTAAGCGTCGAGCTGAAACTGAGGATAAAACTATACTGACAGCTAGTATTAGCACTACTCCCAAAAATTCAGTACCCTCTGCTCATACAGAAACCCTCCCTACACCTTATGTGCTTATCGAAAAGCTCCAGCTTTCAAGCTCTGTTTCAGTACTATCTTCAGAAATAGAACTTCTAAAGTTGTCTATAGGAGAACTTAAGGCCGAGTTAAGGGACTTCAAAAACAATAAGTCAGTAGATCCTGGAATTTCCGATACCAATACCAAAATCTCCAATTTATCAGGTCAGATCAGTGATATCAGACTGCAGGTCTGTGAACTGACACCTTTAACTATTCTCATGAAAACTGTAGACCTTAACAAACTTGACAGTGAATCGATATCTAAGGTGGATAACCTAATTAACTTTGTTACTACAGAAGTAACAAAACGACTAGATGCTAAATTAAATGCTATTGTCTACAACGTTCCGGATAATGAGGCACTAAAAAAGGTACAGCGCATCCTACTTAGTGAGGCGAAAATGCCCAACTCCAAGACTAAGTGCTACAGGCTGAAGAAGAGTCAACATGAAAAGTGTTGTCCTATTCGTTTTCAGTTCGAAACACCTGCTGAGGCCAGAAAATTTATCCACTCCCAACACACCCCACTGCAAGCCAGAAATTATAAACTAGTAAAGGTTGCGGTGGACAAGACCGTCATAGAAAGGCGCGTATATAATTATCACACTGAGTCTAACTGTGGAATAAACAATAGGACATTGCAAGCAGCAATTATACCCAACCCTATGAGAGATGCCGTAGAATCCACCGCACCACCCCTCTCTAACCACACAGAATTATCTTCTCAGAGAGCGACACCAACCGAAAGGCCGCTAAATTGTAATCTAATAGCCAATAAAACTATACCACCTACCACCGTAGATTTAGACATGTCACTAAATAATCCAAGAAAAAAAGTCAAAATCCCCCGAAAGTTGACCCTTTCCTCTCCTAGCCATAAGTCCATTGGTAAAAAAGAGAAGAATATGACCCCAAATCATGCCAACAACAACAATGGCAGTATAAGTAAGCCCACATTCCCCACAGTCAATAGTATTGGCACCCACAACGTGCGAAATAGCACCACGGCCCACACTGATAACCAACGCCCAAACAATGCCACCCTCAAGAGTAGAAGTGACAATAGTCAGAACTCGACCACCAACAACTTTTTTTTTTTACAGTATGGCACGCTAATAAATTTTGATCGGATATACGGTACAAGTCTGCTGGGAACTAACCCACAAAGCAGTACATTCGAAACCCTTACAAGGACACCACTAGTACCTAACAATAGGTGGAATAATAGACCATGGTCTTCACAAGGTCCCAATCATTTTTTATCCCCTGCGTCCCTGTCAGCGTTGAAAAAACAGCTGGTAGGGATGCTAACACTCCTAAACCACTAGTGCTGGCTCCCCCTTTGCATGAATGTAGGAACAGTCTAGCTCACCCGCATCCACTAAGCACACTTGGTACATGCACAAGTTTAGGTCAAATTAAGATCCCTACCCCCGTTTCTAGCTTTACTAAAAATAAAAATGCCTTAGCCTATAGCACATCCAGTACTCCAACGCTCAATTCTTCACCGAAAACAGCACACACCAACTCGATAGACATAGGTGAACATGATGCTGAAACTCCTCTCAACATAGGGTCGTCTTGTCAAACAGTACTACTGGGTGCTGAACCACATTCGGGGCTGATTGACGAACTTAAGTACTTCAAATGCTATTTCAAATCTCATCTTTACCTAATCCTCATAAATGCTAGATCCGTTCTAAATAAACTACCGATGCTCAGAGCACTCACAGTAATATACAAACCCCCTATAATTGTCATCACTGAATCCTGGTGTAACTCGAACATACTGGATGAAAAGATAAGCTTAGATAACTATACACACTTTCGGTGTGACAGGAAAGGTGGTAAGGGAGGGGGTTGTCTTATGTACTTTCTGAATGCACTTACTGTATCACAGCTAGAAAGTAGTACACTTAACATGCCTGAGACTTTATGGATTAACTTACACTTAAATAACGCAATAGTATTAATTGGATGCACCTACAGAGCACCTGGCACCTTTAGTAATTACGAGACCCAACTTATTAATACTCTAGAACAATTATCCACCCTACACTACGATCATAAGATCCTATGTGGAGACTTTAACTTACCAGAAATCAACTGGGAAATACCCACAGGTCCAACTAAACTTGATAAGTTCTTAGGCACACTGGATATACTTGGCTGGAAGCAGACCGTCGCAACCCCTACAAGAGGTAATAACGTACTAGACTTAATCTTCTGCCACAATATAAGTCCCCTTTCTACCCTAGTAGGTTCTGAGTTTTCAGGGAGTGACCACAAAACAGTGCTGTGTGCACTGCCACTTCCGTCAAGTAGCAATGCAACCCATACCCCCACTTCACAACAAATAACTTACAGGAACTACAGTAAGGCAGACTGGACTCTAGTAAAATCAATGCTAAGATCCTCAGAATGGAGTGAGTACTTCTATACTGATAGCCTCTCGAAAGCTCTAGACATCTTTTACTATAACTCCAACACATGCTTAGATGCTGTCATCCCATTTCAAACACTAAAGTTTTCCCCACATAGAAAGACATTCATAAAGCCAAAGGATCGTAGGAAACTGAAAAGACTGTCAACAAGTTACTTCAGGCGACACGACTTTAGTACACTAGGGTCAATACTTAGTACTCTTGGCTCCATCTCGCAAGCTCATAACTTGCGTATGAGAAATGAAGAATGCACGGCACTAGCCAGCACCACCAGAGTAGGTGCTCTCACAGAAATACTAAAGAAACGAATGAATCGCCAAAGCCATAAAATTTCTCTCCTTATAAACAAGGGCAAACTATACAGCAAACATGCAGACATGTGTGAACTGTTTAATGAGACGTTTGCAGCTAACTACCTTAAGCCTACAAGTCCACTTCTCGGTTTACAATCTACAGTAGAACTCCCTTCATCTTCAACGCTGAAACAAATCACTACAGTTCATTTCACTTACTCTAATATTAACCAAGCCGTTAATACTCTTAAAAACTCTAGTAGTGCCGGTTTTGACGGTATACCATCGTATCTTTATAAACACGGTGGTTCTGACATTTCCGTTTTATTACTTAAGATTTTTACAATGTCCCTAGAAAGCCAAACCTA